GACACATATTGTGGTATTGGAGGTGGATGAGCGAGAGCCCCCATAGAATGGTGGTTGGTCTGCGAAAAAGTCTGAGACGAAGATGAAGGTATGGGTGATGGTGGTCGCCGAGGGCAAGGATTGCGCTGACTGGTTGTGTGTAAAGCTTGACCACCCTTTTGCTGATGTTGTATAGCATTTTGTAACTGTTGTTGAAGATCTAAGGGTGGATTTAGTCCATAAGACTGAGGTTGATGAGTTGGAGCGAATGACTTATGAGGTAGTGGGCTGGTAGGAAGACCGTGTACTCCGGTGGGCCCACGACGATGAGTTTGATTCACAGGAATGCCAGCAACAACACGTAATGTATGGCCAGGGTGAGCCGCAAGATGTGGTTGTCCTTGAGTTGGAGGCAGTTGGCTCGAAGTTACTCCAGTATTTTGACCGGCACCTTGACCAGAGGATATCCCAGGACCTGGACCAGCGGAAATTCCGGGACAAGTATTGAGAATAGGGGCTTGAGCCTGTCGACGAACGTACACGGGTCCCTTGGCCTCCATGTATTTACGTACATAAAGAGTGGCACGAGAACGAATCGTTGGGGTGACCTCTGGCATAAGAGGAGCAGAGAAGATACTGCTGGCAGTAGCCGCCTGAGCTTGATGAAGCTTCTGGATTTCTTTGACGATCACTGCTTGTGCTAGCTAAAGTTACAATAAAAATGGAGAACAGATGTGATGGAGATGTCAATGAAAAATGAATATTAAAAATCAACATAGAGGCAGCAGTGACGCAGCCTGCTTCAAATGTAAAATTAAAAAGTTATAAAATGGTAAATAGCATAAAATTTCTAGAATAAGCAATGTTGATCACTCACTGACTCATCAAGAGACATATGCTTAGGGCCGTTCAGCATAATTACTAAAAAATACCTATTAGAAAATACCATCCGCAAGATAAAATATAAATATATGGCATAACTAAAATTACGAGTGGATAGGCCTATGCAATGAAAAAAATGTGGCTGACAGGATTGTATGGCTAAGGTAGAAAACAATTATCTTAAGGACGGACTAAATATATCATAAGCTAGAGCAATTCTAAGGTTAATATGAAGGTGAAATCGCTTTATATATTCCAATTCACCATTAATGGGGTAGTAAAAACATGTGGATTACGTGTAAACGTAAGTAAGAAAATAAGTGAGAAAGATATTAAAAATCAGTTTGACTTACTCTTCGAGTGACAAAATACAAGTCTTCATCGTTCAAAATTCGTCCATATTTACAACGTGCATCTCTGAAGTTTCTCAAGGTGTTGTGAACCAAAGAATAAAGCTAAAAAGTTGAACGAGTGAATACAAAATAGGTGATGGAGCTATATTACTATGAATATATATCTTGTAAAAAGAGCTATCAGTGTATATGATAAAACTATTGTAAAATAAACAAAGCTATAAGAACTTTAAAGTATTCAATGTTTCTTAGATAAAATACCCGGCAAAATTAGGGTAAAAAAATTAACTAAGACATTAGTATTCGAGATAATAGCTAGAATAGTGTAAGAGCGATTTACGCCAAAAAGATTATATATACGAAAAAGTAATGTGAAGGAAAGCTTGTCATAAATGTGTCATTTGGGACCAATAAATGAAATTGCCAAAAGAATATTTGGCTGTAAACATTTTGATAGATGATAGTTGGAATGATTAAGCAAGATGTTTCTTATACCGTCCAGCCTACGATTGTAAAAGATATCACAAAATTGAACAATAATGCTCAAAATGCAAACCAACCTCGATAGCAAAGCTTTGCTCTGCCGCACCCTGTGGAGCACCAGGTTTGGCGGCTAACTCGTGAAGTAACTCCATGCATTGACGCTCGAGAAGCCGCTGTCGCATTCTTTGATACATCTGATAAAGGTAAAAATAAGCTGTTAGGCACGCGCTTGAGAGTGAGAAAGGCATTCAAAGCAATCATTAATTTAAAACATAATAAATCGAGAGTTTAAAAATAGGAAGGAGCTGTAAAGATTGCTCTAGAAAAGTTCAATAAGCAATTCTGTATAAATAATTTATTATTATTAAGCTAATAATAAATTTATGTAAGATGATTCCAGGTACAAAAAACAGCACAAGCCTATAAAATGTTAAAACCAAACAGAAAGTAGGATAATTATACGTAGAATAAAAGAATTAACTAACCGTCTCAATTTCCTCGTGTGTCACTTGGTATCTGCTTGCACAGCCCCAATTATAGGGCGCCTCTGGGTCGTTTTCGTCGTTACCACCCTCTAAGGCAGCCTTATCTTCGGGGTCGGCGTCCCACGGATAGACTGGTGGATCCCAACGAGTTTGACGTGTCTTCATATGATAATAGTAGTAAGCATAGGTATTTGAGGCGTTTACCTTAGCTGAGTTTTTGGCATCATCACCAGATTCAAGCAACAAAGATGCATCTGTTGACGACCTGCAGTTACCCGCCTCTTCCGTCGAACCTATGACAGATTGGCCAGTGGATAGAAGATTCTGGTTGCTACGCGAGATATTATTTCCATCGAATTCGAGAGCAATCCCACTTGTAACGATAGTTGAAACATTGACACTAGCATTTGGCTTTTCGACTGATTTATAAGCAGTGTTAGGTGCTCGTTGCCAGCCCGGCGGCAAGGGACTAGTGCCATTCTCCGAAAGATGCAGGTGTAGAGCGGGAAGTGCCTGTCGGCGCATAGGTTCCAGACGCAAGCGATGCTGCTCGCGAAGAAGGGCACAACGAGCCTGATTTGAAAAAGAAATATGAATCAAAATGAAGAAAATATAGGTTTTAAAGAATAACTTAATGAGATATAAAGACCAAAATGAGGTAGCCTTTTGTTTGAGTGTAACCTTCTTTAGCTACATTGTGTTGGTTTGATCTCGGTTTAGCAACTTGGTCTGAGTAATAGGGAGATCTTGTGGAATGTACATAGTCCTGTGTCCTTTACCATAGTGATCCATCACTTTGATAAGTCATAAGTCTGTGCTAACGATAGTGTCTCTCAGTGATGATGCCGGCTAATCATTTGGGAATGTACCAAGTAAACGGTCCGAAACAGGAAATCATGAATGCTATAGCAAAGGACGCAGGACTAAGTACATTCTATAAGGTCTTCTTATAGTCCCATGTTGCGAAAACGAGATCGCTTAGTGAGTCATTTTAATTTTATTTCTAATTTCAAAGAAAGGGTTGGTTTAAAGGAATTTATAAATTGGTAGCCCCAAAATCCGAAGGATGGTCGCGGAGTGAAGACTGTTGGATCGTACGAAAAGTCCTCGGCTAACCGTTTTTCCTTAGAGTCGTGAGACGGTAAACCGATTACTTCTTTGCATAATTAAGCAGTCTTCACTTCGTGACAATCATTCTTTAGTTTTAAATGAGACCAAGTCACGAATTCCTTCCAATCAACATTTCTTTGGAAATAGAAATTTGAGTCAAAAAGTAGATCAATAATTGGTCAAGAACAAGCAAAATAAAATATAAAATAACAAAAAGGAATTTCGCAATAATCGTAAATGATATACCCAGATAATATCGTGAACTTAGAGTAGACAGGCCAGCCATGCAGTCAATATTCATAAGATTAATGTACTAAATTGCGCTGTAAACCTTTCCTCCAAAAACACTTACTATTAAAATGCATTAGATGCAATATTAGTAAGCGTAGTTAATGGAAGATAATTAAAATATAAGGGATGATTAAGCCTCCCTCGATGACATTCTAAATAAAAACTAGGCACAGTAGACCAGCATCACAATCAATTACCTTTTCGGAAAATCATTGGACTAATGGAAAATAACTTCGGATAGTTTTGGTCAAAAGTTAAAGCAAGGAAGCTAATCTAACAGCTAGGGCGCATGATAAATATATAAAAATGTATTAAAAAATCATTATAAATTAATTAAAATGTTTTTTTTTCGAATAAAAGGTAAATATACCATATAGATTAATTTATGGAACAACCTATGGTTTTGTAAATGTAGCTATATTTTAAGCTAGCTGAAGAATTTCATATAATCACTGATGCTTCAAATATTGTTTTTTTAATGTTACAAATATAAAACGATGGCCTACTTCGCTGTTATAAACTAAAATAAATTCAGGCATAAAGATTAAGCCTCCAAGAAGAAAAAAAATGAAAGTTACCTGAATTGAGGCAAGTAACTAAGTTGCGAAACGTCCACCAATTTGATGGTGGACCTATAAATATGCTTCAATAAATAGCAATAATAAATCTAATATATATTTCTTATCTTGTAATAAGTGTGACAAAACATAAAAGCTCGTGAATCAGAATTAAAGCAAATAGTGCACTTCTCTAACAAGCATTTTTATAAAAAAGGTTTGGGCAAATATCGAATACTCTCAGAGCAAAAAATAGTATACAAATGTGTTTCGCTGTTAACATTCCATTGTCAAAAAGTACTAAAACAGTGCCAAATAACGTGACTTAAGGTGTCAAACAAGCATAATAATAATTAGTGGTCAAAACAATATATATATATATTGAATTGAATAATTAAAGTAACACTCATAAATCAAATCTAAAACCTAAAATTAAGATTCGATTAATTGACACAAATGTATTCTTTTTCTAATATGTAAAATGTATGCAGAATATGTCTTATAAGTTAAGGTAAGTTGTTGTCAATTATGGGAAGGAAATGAGTGCATAGATATCAACTACGGGATGAGTACAATTAATTAATTAACCAGAGTTGAGACAATTAAGTTCAAAACCTTGCAAAGGTCACTATTATAAAATGGCTTTAAAAACCAGTAAAGGCATGTTCATGCATGAATTTTATTTATTTATTTATAGT